TTAAAAAAAAAAAAAAATTATGGGGGTGGGGGGAGGGGTGGCGTTTCTTTTTTTTCCCACCATCTTCAGTACAATTCTGTATAGTACACATCACACGGGAAAAAAATCCGCCATCGACTTCTGTCTTAAATTGTTAAAACTCTGTTTGGCAGCTTCATCTCGCCATTTCCTTACTTGCATTAGTTGAATATAATCCACATCCCCTTATATTCCAGCCACATCAGCAGGTTGTCAGCAGCGTTAAAGGCTGTTGATGCGTTGACTTTTGGGAGGTGACTAACTTCTTGTTCATTATCAGATGAATCGTGCTCCTGCGATGTTTCCACATCACTGATGATTTGATCATCCGTTAGCCACTGATACCCTGGATCGTCTGCGTCTTCAGTCAGCCATTGAACAGGTCCCATCTACTCGCTATCATCGGCTTGGTATCCGAGTTCTTCAAACATTTCATCGAATTCAGCCGAGTCATCGTCATCATGATGGTTTCTTTCATGAGGATCGGAGTCGTTGTTCGGCTCTACTCCCAGAAGTTGTCGCCAGCTACGACTTAGGTTTTCTTCCGTTGCATCTTCCCATGCTTGGGAAATCCAACCAACGCAATCCTTGATTGTCAGCTGCCTGATAACAATTGTAATGTCGTCATCGTTCGCCAAGATGTGTCGTAGGAGATGCTTTTTGTAGCGTCGTTCTTCTTTTGGGGGGTGTTTTTATCCTAAAGAAGTAGAATTTTGTATGGAATGTGAATGTTGGAACAAAGTCACTGTGGAACCAATTTTTTGAAAACGGTAGCATCTGTAAGTTAATGACCAGCCTGAGAGGCACTTCGTAGATTACTAGGATTGTTTATTGTGGTACTGACCGACATACATGTATGAGATGGGTAACGCACCGAGAGGGCGTGATTCAAATTAATACAATGTTCTACATCTTCCTTCTTTTACTTTGTTTTTAAACATGATCAATTTATAGTAAATTTAAAATCTTTTCATCCTTTTGTTCTTAAACATGAGAACAATAAGACGTTTTAAGTCAAAAGTGTGATTGTGTTATTCATTCAATTGTGATATTTTCTAACATATTAATTAGCATCTTAAATTCCTGTTCAATTTTTAATTTCCATTTTACTTATAAATTCCAATCCAATAACAATGGTCTATAATCAATGTATAATTAATGTTCTTCAATCCAATCAATGTTCAATAATCAATGTTCATTCAATGTTCAATAATCCACTTTCAGCAATCAAATCAATGTTCAATAATCAACGTTCAGTAATTCAATCAATGTTCAATCAACGCTTGATTTTTTTAATTTTTTTTAAGGTTACTGTGTGTGTGTGTGTGTGTGTGTGTGTATTTGGGATTTGGTTTGACAGTTCGTCCACTTCGGGTTCTTGTTGGCTGAATCTGTGTTGGATTCTAAACTTTTAAATCTGTGAATTGTTCGAAGTGAACTTATATGATTATTGTATTTTAAATGAAGAATTTTACTGATTTTTCAGCTAGCATTGTTGGTGTTGCAGGTTTTAATAGACAGTCTAAATAGGTTAAAATATCTTACAAAACACAATCAACAAAGCATATACCTTATAACTAAGTAAAGTGCAATAGAAAAAGAACCCCTTTACTATTTAATTTATAGAGAGCACAGGAAAGAGACCAAAGTAGCTAATATATTGCAATCGTGATTGGTCAATCTCTTGAAATGAGGTAAAATCATTCAAGCATCACTGGCGTTAGATCAGTGGCGTTAGCTAATCTGGGGTCTGCAGGTAGCGTTAATAACGCCAAGGACGTGGCGTAGTGAGTGGCTTTAACAATGCCACTGCCTAGTTCACACACAAAGGCCATGCTTAAGCCAGTCAAACGCCGTGTGTGTGAACATAGCCTAAATTACATGGTGTCAGAAATTGAGGAAAATAATCAACTTTTAGTGGATTCACATATTGAAGTACAGTAAAGTACGATGGTATACATTATTGCTGCTTGGGCCCATCCATAGCAACGAAACATGGCCGACTATGGAATACGTAGACCGGATCCGATTTCCTTTCAAGGAAACGTAGCTGAAAACTGGAGACGTTTCGAACTAGATTTCGATATATATAT